ATGGATTAACTAAAAGTTAAATCCTATGGATTTGTAGTGTCATGGCAACAACTAGTTGAGCGGCACTACTATGGATTTTGAATGGATTTTAAATATATTACTACTATGGTACCTCGATATGAGCATGAGTCTCAGGATCGACGGTTAGGAAGCGTATATGTATTGGGATGCATAACTGGATACGATGGTTAGAAGTGTACCCTGTTTAGGTATAGGTACATATGCCCACTTCGTGTGCGTTTTAGCATGTTACCTCTATTCAGGTTGAGACCGACCTGTAGTCCAGTGAGAGTCTTTTAGTGTGACTATATATATATTTACGGACTATAAGCTATTGCTGAATTGTTTAGGATGTACATGCGTATCGGGCCTCTGTTTGGATTGTAGTAGTATAGAACTTGCGCGTGGGCCTGACCCACTTCTATTTTTCAGGTACACGACAGTTCCAGGCTTAGACGTGTTCGTGCTGAGCAGAGGTCTCTATTCACTCTTCCGACGATGTAGGGCTCTCTCTATAGTTTTATTTCTGGATGTTTATTATAGTGGTTTTATCTTCCGTTTGGATGTTTAATAGGGGTCCACTAAAGATGGATTCCCGAGTTGTAAATTGATGGAGTTTTGGAGTTTGGGGTTTGATGGATTTTAATAATTATAATACTTTGCGGATTCTATTTTTAGTTCCTTTCAGCTTTAATTTCACTTCTTAATTCATTTTGTATTCTGTATTCATTATAAAATATTAATTGTTTGATATTCCCTCGGGTTTGGGCCTGGGCCTGATCAACCCGTGTCTCGGATCCGAGGGGTATCACAAAAATTCACCACTTTCAAATATGAATTTTACTATTATAATGGTGAAATGTCACATATTTTTACTCCTATATAAAAATGATAAAATTAATCATTTTAAATTTAAAAATTGGAGTAGTTGATGGTGTTGAAATCCATAAAAACAATTAAATTCACCATTTAAATTGTTGAAATTCCAAATTATGAGGTATATGGTGGTGAAATTCATCACTAAAAGTGGTAATTTTTTAAGTAAAAGTAGAGTAATTATTCCAGCAATGACAATAGGGATTAGAACGGCGCAGTGAGATAATCGGTTTAGATTTCATTAGCTACCAAAACCCTCCAAATGAAAATAAAACCAAAAAAGAAAAAAATAATAATGATAAGTCATGAAATAAAGATAATTCTTCTGTCACTTTCAGGTAAACGACATCATACTAAATAAAAATTATAATCATTCTCGAAAAACAAAAGTTGTATAACAAAAACATTATTTTGACATTATATCATTAACTCACTCACTAAAATAAAAAAGACATTGTATCTTTAAGTTGGTTTGATTTTGACAATTCTGCTAATGAGATAAGAATAATAATTTTAACACAATTATTCTACTTATTTTCCCACATCGCAAAACATATAAGGATTTGATTCCTTTATAAGCTTTCTGTCTTTGCATGAATGTTGCCGAGCTTAGTAGCCTGGACTTGTAACTCAAATGGGGGTATTAGAGTTAAGGATGGCAATTTCCCCCGACCTGGTGGGTTTCCATGAATAAAGATATATTTTATAAAAATTGTTGTTGTCTGTTAATAATAATAATAATAGTTGTAACCTTCAATTTCCCAATTGCCCCTATAAATAGGATTCCACATTCCAACCAGGCTGGCCAAGATGTAAGTTCTAAAGCCCAGAGCTCTAATCATCAATTGGGCTGGACTAGGACTTTGAATTATTTTTATATAAAGTAATTATATATATACATATATATACTTATATATAATTATACATATATATGCATCACAATCTCACGGTTTACAGTCACTGATGCTGTCGCAAACCCGTATCAATGTGACGGAATCAGTTATAACCGTAGTGATTTTTTTTTTACTTCACACATAAGTCCCAAAATACTTTGATATGTTAAATTTTTATTACATAATTCAATAAAAATGAGTTTTCAATGAATTAGTATTGACTTTTGGAAGTTTATTTAATACAAATAATGATCTATTTATAAATTCTAAGTATTAATTATTGAAAAAGTGTAATGATTATACTTTTTACTAAATTAATGAATAAAATTATATTTAAATATGAAAATATGAAAATCCATTTCATATGTATAACATATATATAATATGTGAGAAATAAAATAAATAAATATGAAAATTTAAAATTTAAAAATATATTATGAAATACAACATATTTTAACATGTAAAAAAAAAAAAACCATTTATGAGTGAAAATTATATTGAAAATAGAAAGTAAATTTTATTCGAAAGTATAATTTATTCACACGTCCGATTATAGTTAAGCATTATAAGGTTTGTACGAGTAGATATATGAACAGATTATAATGTTCAAATAAATTAGAAAATTGTGCTTAAAGTAACAAAAGCATTTTGTGGTATGGGGGAAGATTATATAATTTTCACTCTTGCACTCTAATATATTGAGCGTGGCGCTAGGGAAGGACGTGGTATCATGTTTGAGTCAGGTTCTAATTTGTCCGAACCTTTAACTTCAAACCGGTCAGTTCTGATGTGAATTTCAATTTTATCATTATTGCGAATCCAACCAATAAATGATTTATGCATAATATATAAACCAAATACTTATTGCCACGACATGTCAAAAAAATCAATTCAAAAATCCATAGGTCTAATTTCAATCATAAGACATGTTCGTTGGTTATTGCCATGATACATCAAAAGAAAAACAATTCATAATCCCATACGTCTCATCTAAGTCATATTCCGTAACACTGCATGATGCAAAATTATTTTAAATCAATCCAAAAACTACTCGAGATATCTGAAAACATTAAAGTATTTGAGATAGAGACTAAACATGTGAAAAATTAGTAATATTTGAAAGAGAGAGAGAGAGAAAAAAGACAATATCAACATCACACATGAACATATATTTTAAATACTATATTAGTATACTGTTGAAGTTTAATTTGCTATCATCTCTAGTGCCACCATAATTTAGTGTCCATGTCTACCAAAAATAAGAAACCATGGGTGGGATTTCTGTAGTCCGGGAATGTAAACTGACCCGAAGTCGAGTCCGATTGCTTGGCCTAGGTCCGAGACCAAACCCACACTCTGGCCGGGCCTACAAGTCCTAATATGCCAGACATGGGTCAAACATCAGGTTATCAACTTGGGTCGGTCCCAAGGAGAACCTCATATATATATATTTTTAATTAAAAAATTAGGGTAGTACATAGGTGTCTATTTTAATAAATTATTGGATACTATGAGTACTAACAATGTAGTACTCCCTTTGTCACAAAATTTTTGGTTCGGGGAATCTAATGCGTGCTTAGTTTTTTTTACTCTAGGAACATTTTTCAGTTTTTAGTTTTTTGAAAATAAAAAAATTATACAAAAATTCAGTTTAGTTCAATTTTTTGAAAATTTAGTTATAAAAAGACTTATTTTCAGATAACTATCTTTTATAATTATCTGAGAACAGTTTTCTATTTTCTGAATTCTTGATAACTATTTTTAGAGTTACAAATCAAGCAGTCCCTAACTTTTTATGGTAGTGTGATTTTAATACTTGTTTAATTATATAGATAATTTTGTAGTTATTTTAGTATTCTTTCTTATTATATATATTGAAAAAAAAAAAATCTTATTATATATATAAATTTAGAATATTTTTTTAAATTGTAGTGACTTTATGGACAAGTGTATGTGGGCGGGTGCGAGGTACTAATATCTTTCAATTGCACAATCCCATATATTTTTGGGTGTGTGTGCTAGTGTGTATCTTCAAATGTGAGGCCTTTTGACATAAAACTTGAGAATAAAATAATACGGGTTTGGACCTAAAACAAACAATATCATACATTATACTGGAGTGGAGGTTGTTACAAATTATATCAAAACTTGACCTAGTCGGAAGTGTGCCGACTGAGATGTCGAGCCTCTTTGGGGTTGATTGTGGCGACTTTGTGGACGAGTATGTGTGAGCGAGTGCAAGGCATTGGCATGATTCAGGTGCATGATCCTAAATTTCTTAGACATGGAAAGAAGAGATATATATATGTGCTAGTGTTATTTCTAAATGGTACGAGGTCCTTGGAGTAAAACCAAGAACAAAATCTTATGTATTTAAGTTCAGAACGGATAATATCATAAAATGTTCAAATTTATGAAAACATAAAATTATTTTCAAAAAATTATAAAATAAAATTTTATAGAAACATGTATTTTCTTTTATTGATTTTAAAAAAAATTGTTCTCACAATCTGTATGGGTCCAAAGGCCCCTGCCGCGGAAGGGTTCCATACTAAGTCACATAAAGCGAGAGCGAATTCGAGGGCGGGAGAATTAAGTCATAAGTAGCGAAAATTTGAATGGGAGTGCATACGGAGCGTAAGAGTGAGAGCGCACTTGAAATGTAAGAACGACGCCTATTGAAAAGGATTGTGTGACTTATGTTCCACTTCCACAATTATTTAAAAAAAAAAAAAAACTCATCAATCTCTAATTATTTTTTATTTAAAATTAAATTATTATTATTATTTTTTTGACTCCAATATCTAACGTAGGACAAAGAATATAATTGTTCATGATATGTATTTATCTCAATACTCCGTAATTACCAAATAAGTGAATGACAAAAATAATTCACAAGTTTAATTTTTTCTTTTTCAATCCGTTATTTATTTATATATTTATTTTTTAAATAAGGTTCATTTGCTTTCTTGGGACTTGGACCTTAAAAAATTAATAAAACCACTGAAACTAAGTACCACTCAACCAACCTATTCTATTTGTTAAACTCTTTATTCTATTGTATTATTATACAGACAACTTGGATAAAGTAGAAGAGTGGTAAAGTAATTTAATATTTGTTGGTAAAAATATATAATATGTATATATTAATAAATTAATATTTGTAATATAGTTTGTACAGTGAATGAAAACGCGTATCAACGATATAAATACACAAATTAATAGGCGTCGAAGTTCATTTACAAGTAACCGTTCTTCTTTCCCTCACATCACAACTCTCGTCTCTCCCAACACTTTCTCTCTCATCACAAAAAATGAAAGAACTCAAAACTGCCACTAACCACAACAATAGCGAAACCTCCACACCAGACCTTCAAAACCCTAACAATGGCGATCCCAACGCATTCTCCGACGTCGACATCGACAGCTCTTGCTCCACTCCTTACGTCAGCGCTCCGTCCAGCCCCGGCCGTGGCCCGCCTCTCTCCGGCTTCTTCTACAGCGCTCCGGCCAGTCCCATACATTTCGTTCTTTCTTCATCTCATCATTCGCCATCTACTGTAGACACGAAAGCCTCCGTTTTCAGCTCGTTCGATTTCGAATTTTCTGCAAAGGCTCCGGCGACTGGTTCGGTGTCGGCCGGATCGATGAGCTCCGCCGACGAGCTGTTCTTGAACGGCCAGATCCGGCCGATGAAGCTGTCGTCGCACCTCCAACGGCCGCAGAGGCTGACGCCGTTGCTGGATCTGGACGAAACCGAAAGAGATGGTGACGAAACCGATGAAACAGAGAAAATCGGGAGAGGACGAGATGTGATTGTGCGAGATCGGTCTTTGCGGAGAAGAACCAGATCGATGTCTCCGTTGAGAAGCACGTTGTCGTTTCAGTGGTACAAAGGTGAGATAGACGATGATGATAGCAGTAACCAAATGGATCTGAGTTTTGAAGACGTTGAAGTGAAGCAGACAGAGACGGAGTCATCCACGACGCCGGCGGTGTCTGTTTCATCGTCTAGGTCTTCGTCGGCTGGTCGGAGCTCGAAGAGGTGGGTGTTCCTGAAAGAACTGCTCTACAGAAGCAAAAGCGAAGGAAGAAACAACAACCACAACCACAAGTTCTGGTCCTCCATATCGTTCTCACCTATCAAAGATTGGAAGCTTTCAAGTTCAACACAATCATCGACTGATTCAATGGCTTCTTCTTCAACAGCGGAGACTGTGAATAATGGTGATGGGAAGAAGGTGAAACAGAGTGTCCGAGATTCGAATAAAAAGCCGGTGGCCGGAAAAGTTGGGAAGAAGGGGTTGAGCAAGTCGGCTCATGAGATGCATTACACGGCGAACAGAGCTCAGGCGGAGGAGATGAGGAAAAAGACATTCTTGCCCTACAGGCAAGGGTTGCTTGGGTGTTTGGGCTTGAGTTCAAAGAGTTATGATGCAATGAATGGGTTTGTCGGAAGAGCTTTGAACCCTGTGTCTTCAAGGTGATACTAAATGATTAGTACTTGCCAACTTCTACAGTGTGTGTGATTTGATAGAGATGTGAGTCTTTTAGATCACTCCGTAATTTAGCTCCGAGCATATAGTCCCATATGCTCCCGGTGCATGCACATGCACTTGATTGGAAATGATCAGCCAACTTCTAGAGTGAGATTTCAAAGTGTTTGATTATGTATATATAATATATTTTCTTTCTTTTTGCCTTGAAAAAGAAAGGCTTAATTATGTTTCCATTTTTATGGTGTTGATGAATTACGGGGCTCCTTCATATCCATTCTTTTCGTAAAATTACAATATTGCCATGAACTCTCTATTTTACTTTCTTTGTGTTTGGGTGTAAGAAATCATATAACCCATGAAATAGTTTGTAAAATTTGTTCTTTATGAGTTTCCTCCAATGGGACTTCCCAAAAGAAAAAGTTCTCCGATAATTGCCAAGAGGAGATTAGATAAATATTTAAAATAACTCCGAAGAGGAGATACCACTTAAGCTAAATCACTATAAAATCAGTTAACGTTATTCATACGTAGTAGTATTAATTATTCTATGAATAATAAAAATTAAAAAACATGTATATTGAGATCTCGGAATACCGATCTAGAATATGGTACTTCACTCGAAGCATCCGTGAACACTATGCAATGAACTATTAAAGTTTCATACATAATTTATATCACTCAGTCGTGTTAAATATATTTATTTTCCGGTCATTTGTCATGGACGGATTCCTAAGACGCTTGAAGTAAGGAAGACACGCATATTAGTTGGCGAAGAGTAGAGTTTGATTGGGAATGGTTCTAGGAAAGGGGCGTGCAGGATCACATGTTGGTACCTCTTCAGAGTTCAGGCAGGTCAACTTAGTTCAGTTCGAGAAGTTTGTCGTTGGTCGTGGTTTTGACTATGAAAAATGGAGTTGGTCATCTCTATACAAACTGGTCAGGAGCTAGAGTCGTTCCCTTGGTGAGGTCAATGCAGGCCGAAATCAGTCAGCATGTATCATCGGGAGGGCAGGTCGTGGTGGCTAATTAGGACATTTGTGCGAATTAAAGTAATGTCTTGGTGCCGCACGGGCTATGCCACTACGCCAAATCTCTAGACCCGTGAAACCTTTATTAGAATGAGAAGTTCTAAAAGTTTACAAATGAATAACTTTGAATTTATAAAATTTCTTTTATTGACTAGGAATGAATAATGATATGTTGATATATACAGCTATATATTTATGAAAGTAAAAGAATCCTAAAAATAGTCCACGTTAGCATTGTCACTAAAAATTATGATTAAGAAAATAGGAAAAATGTTTGAATGACTTAAACTAAGATAACTATCAAATTTCGGATCAATTTTAATCTATTTTGTTCTGCAACGAAAATTTTAAAATATTGGATAGTTTTTTTTGTACAACTAGTTGCATGTCAAGAACTGACAAAGAATTCTATTGTCATCAAATATATATATTGCATGGTGATATGATATTTCAAGAATCATGCGTGGAAATACATGATGGACTTACTAATAAAAGTGTTGCAGCATGACAGACAGATTTATAAAAGTATTGCAGAAGTCGACCTGTAATTATTTGACATGCATGATGCTACCATGTAAAGCCTATATGTTCTGCTAGGGAATGGACTATTAGCACATTGAATTTTAATCTAATTCAATTCGATAAACTCATATATAAATTAAAATTTTAATCAGATTAATTTAAATCTGATAATTTATTAATTAATCAAATTAAATATTAATCACATAATATATTATGTAATATTTAAATATATATTAATCAATGCTATAATATATCGTATTTACATATTATCAAAATGTTTTATAATTATTTTCTCTTCTTACTTTTTGTTGGGGGTGCCGTGAAAACATATCATTATCACATAATCATACATTAATTAAGTACACAATCAACACACATATTTTACCTGGTTTATCCAATTTTTAGGACTATGTCAAGAGGGAACTGTCACTGTTATGTTCAAAGAAATATAATCATAAATGCCCAAATATAATCATAAATTCCCAACCTCAGTTACTCACTCAACATCCTTTTGAGACTTCATCTCTATTTTTAGGCTTCATCTCTATTTATAGTTTTCAATACATTTCTCCTTAAACAAAGATTATCATACCTTGTCAAATAAGAAGTTATCGTAAACAAATTCCACAATAAGGAAACAAATTCCACACATATCAGGCAAAATGCGACCAATCGAACTTTTTCAGTCCCTCATTCTTCATTGATTCGACAAGTTTCTTTAACTAAGGAAATAAGTCTCCGCACATAGTAGGCAAAGTGTGACTAGTTCCAAAAAGTACGACTAATAAGACTTCTCCAATCCCTCATTCTTCGCTGCTTCAAAATGATTACTCCTTGAGCAACTTGCAATTTGATAGAATTTGAGTCATACTCTAAATCCTCTTCCCTCTCCATATATTCTCTTACAATTAATTGTTTTTCATATTTTATTTGCCTTCCATTTCTTCTCCTTATATTTTTTTTATCATTGCTTATCAGTTACCATTCTCTTTTAACATTAATTTCTTCCTTTAAAAAAAATACACCTTTATCGAATCCGAATCCAAATCCGATTATTGAATGATCGGATATGAATTTATTAATAAATTATGAGTTCTCAAATCAGGGTTGAATCGATTAAAAGTTTTATTATATCAGGCCTAATCTAACCTACATCTGATCTGTTTACAAATCTAATTAGGGATCAATGTAAATGAGATTTGGCATGTCAATATCTAATTGAGCATCTAATAAATTGACTCTACGTACTTTCTTATACATCTCTACTCTTTCACTGGACATTTGCTCGGGAGTGTCAGTTACATTTGAGGTATTTTGGTAAATATATATTTTTTATTATTTATTATTTTGAAGGAATAGAAAAAGAATGGAAACAAAATGTTGTTGGTTGCTCCATATGATTGCCAGCTTGTCTATTTATTATTGAAAGGAAAAGATATTTGGTTATTTGCCCAATGTATTAAAAAAAGAGACTAGTGAAATAAAGAAGTAATGAACACCTGGGCCAAGAATCTAAAAAAGGAAAATGTATAGAGCCTTCCTCTAGGAGGCCACATAGGTTGTCATCGTAAATCAGAACCAAAAATATTCCCATCTACATAGTCTAGGAATATTGGAACCATTCTCGAGATAGTAGCATCCATCACCCTGACACGATACCTCTGCATAATCATACAAAGAGATTTTAATAAATAAAGAAATAAAAATCCTAGTATATATATAAATCCATTTGTTTTGTATATAAATTGCCAACTAAATTATGGTAAGACTATAAATTTTTCAAAATAGTTGTGTGATTGAACAGAAACCCTACCTCAACTTTAGGAAGCTTCACAGTACTGAGTTTGGATTCTTCCTGTTTTGAAGAGTTCTGTGTATTAAGATTATGTCATTTTGATGTATTAGCACATAGACAAAAATGATTGTGCAGAGTTTCAACACCGGCCAGCATTGAACTGTGTCTGTGCGCCAAAACAATGTCGATAGTGACAGAATCCCTCCAAACTAAAGGGAATTTACTTTTACGAATCTTTTGTTGTTATAACACGTGTTGTGGAGTTTTTCAATGCAATTACAATCCTGACACAACTACAAAATAAGGAAGTGCACCAAAACAACGTCATTCGATGCACACGATAGTGAACAGAATCCCTCCAAGCTGAAGGGAATTTACTTTCACGAATCTTCTGCTATTATAACACGTGTAGTGGAGTTTTTCAACGCAATTACAATCTTGATGCAACTACAAAACAAGAAAGCTTCACAATAATGATCGAGTTTGGATTCTTCCTGTTTTGAGGTGTTTCGTGTATCAAAATTATGTCATTTTAATGTATTATTCCGTGGTACAGAGACAAAAGCGGATTGTGTAGAGTTTTAACACCGAGTTTACTTTGAACTTTGTCTGTGTGCCAAAACAATATCGTTTGGTGCACACGATAATGAAATAATCCCTCCAAACTAAAAGAAATTCGCTTTCTCAGATCATCTGCTGATATAACACGTGTTGTGGAGTTTTTCAATGCAAGCCGCTACGAAACAAATGCTTAATAATTTATCATTTGGATGGTCATATGGGCCCTCAAGGCAACAGTTGCAAAAAATTGGGCCCCACAATTTGCAGAAAGACATTAAGCAGTTTTTGGTTGTATGTATGTTTGTATCTTCCTGGGCCAACCTTTGAGGCTGTGATACATATTGCACACATGGGATTGGATGGTTGTTAGGATATCTGGGGTGGGAGGGAAGGATTAGGATGAGGTGATTTGATTTTGTTTTTCTCTCATCTTCACATATAGACACTTCCAAGTGTTGGGACCATAATAAGCCCATTTGTCTTCTCAATTTCTTAGATTTGCCTTTTCCGCAAGTGAACAAAGCTAGATGGGAGATTTAGGAGGTTTGTTACCTAATCAATTCTCATGGGTCAGGTTGGTTTCTAGACATTGACATAAAGGAGTTTTTAGAATAACTTACTTGTCACTCCACAATTGTTTCACTTTTATCTCATTCTGGTTAGTTCATCCTTGAACTCTTGTTTCACTTTTCTCATTTTATACCCACAGAAGTAGATCTAACCTAGCTTCTCTAGAATGTAATTATAAGATTATCCTTGTGTGATTAGTTTAGTGGACCCTTATATCCGCTTAGTTGACTGTTACGTTACCATATCATAAATTAAATTTTAGACGACTTGTGATGTTTCACTAAAGATGGCAATGAGTTGGGGAGCTCATTCCTCATCTCTATAGCAGGTGAATTTTTTTTCATCCCATTCCCTCATAAATTTTTACCTCGAAGGTTCCACCCCCATCCTCGCCCCACCCCATAACCAGCTAAATGTTAAAGTTGTTCCCACATATTTTATATATATACTTTAACATACTTCTAAGAATATTTTTGTAAACTTATACTATAAACGGGACGAATTTACCCCACTAGAATTTTTTATTTTTTATTTTTTTTTATTTTTTTATACATAAATTTGTAAAAATTGATAAAATGCCACCCCCTAAAATTTAAAAAACGGCCCCTTTGCCCCTTGAATCCACTCTATTTTATTTTACTTTATGTGTAAAATTTGTAAATATTTATAAAATACCCCCATAAAATTTATAAATTATCCCCCATAAAATTATCTATTTCTAAAAATATTTTTAATTCTTTATTTCTTTTCCTTCTTATTCTTCAAATTTCTTTTTTTCATCTTCAAAAACTTTTGCATTTTTTTTTTTCTCTTCTTATTCATTTTTTATTCACTTATTCTAATGCACTCACTATTATATTTTTAGTCTATTTATAAAAAAATTATTTTGTCAGTGTTAACACCTGAACCAAATTTCTGACTCCGCCCGTGCATAAAAAGGTCCACAGTCTCACCCTAAACGGAACTGGACCCAATATCTCAAAATATTTGAAAGGACATAATTTAAGAACACGCCTATTTTAATTCTCCATAATATGTGGACAAAGAAAAATTGTTTGCACAACGAAGTGGGCTCTAACAATACCAGCTCTATTGACAATGCTACGAATACTACATTTAGTCATCTCATTTATTATTATCAACAAACACATGGTTGATGACATGGATGTCGCATAACACTTGCGTGTATATGACTCATATAGACATGACACTCCATTCCCTTCTTTATGAATGTTCTTTTTCACATCTTTTTAGAAATTTCAGTTCCTCTCCTTTTTGTCATCCAATTTCTTTAAAACAAATTTAGGCCATAAAGTTTCATTAAAAAAAATAAAAATAAAAAACGATAACGAGAAAAAAGAAAATATAATAATAATTTGTATTTGTTTTGATAAATTATTTAAAGAAGCAAAAGAAAGTAAAGAAAAGAAACTATTTTAAGTAATTTATTATTATTCCCTAAATCCTAATGACTCAAATATTTTTTAAATTTTCTTTTTAAAATATGAAGGTTATTTTTTATACTATAAAAGTTTTACTTAAATTATTATCATTTCTTTCAAAACTTTCTTACTTTTGGAAACATAGACCATGGTAAACCAAACATAAAAATCACACTCTCTTCCTTTCTTTTCTATCCAAATTCCAACTATCCAAACACAGAAGGCTTGATTACATCAAGCTGTTTTGGTGACAACTGTTTAGGGCGAAGGATATAGCTTGTGTCATGATCACAGGGCCAACTCCATTATTATTCTTTCCTGGATCATGTAGTTTCATGCAATTTGTGGCTTTCTTTCTAAGTTTTCAAAAGTTTACATCGAGGTTGAAGTCGAGTCCATCGGATGGATCATATAAAATAACTTGTCGAAAATTTATGGATAAATTATTTTTGTTAAATTTTAATATATATATTTTTTTTGTAAATATTTTACAACAACCAAACACCAGAAAATAGAAAAATATTTTTTAAAAAATATTTTACGTCCAAACAAACAGACCCGTATCCTTTATTGTACACCATCGAATTTTTTTATTATTATTATTTTTATTTCCATTAATGGTTTACATAATTACATTTCTGCATGAGGTAAAGAACGAGAACATAGGATCATGGATGGTTATGAAACTTGCCCCGAAAAATAAAAAACAAGACAGAAATCAAGGTTTGTGATAATTGGAAAAGACATAGTCACATGACAACTTGTGGTTTAATGAAACTACAACTTTAGACCAAACAAAAAAACACATAATTAAATTATTGTAACGCACTAACGCTCTTTAAATAATTGAAAAGAAGGTTGATGTATTAAACCGGGCCTAACTACTACGTATTAGTGGCCGAGAATTGAACTGGATGACAGGACGCATATACCTCCATACAAAACTTGCTGTTACCAAGAGGCAATCATTTCATATCACCATCTCATCTGTTCGCATTCATGGGAGATATATACACATATAAACACACACACACACACACATATGTAAGGTTCGTGAACTCGTGGGCCAAGAAACGTACGATCTTATGCGTTTGGAATAAATGGAAAGACTAAATGGTGGGTGACCCATGTGAAAATTTTCAGTGTTTCCTTTCCTTTCTGACAACATACGGAAAATTTTCATATTTTTTTAGCCCCGAGGTATCGAGGAAGTGTGACTTTTAGTGATCGTTTTCATTGTGCAATAGCTTTCATTATTTTTTGGGGTCCGCGACCAACTAATTTCTTTAATTTGTGTTATTTTTCTTTTTAACTTTCCCCATTCTTTCCTCCTATTCTCAATCAAAGAAGTGTGAGGCAGAATTCCAGCTCCAATTGTGCATATTTGAGTTGTTGCAGTTACAAAGCTCGTAGTTGGACTTTGGACTTTGGATTGGGCCGAATGGTCTGGTTGTCATCCTGTTGGGTAGTACATCGAGTCCGTTGTTATTTTCTTTTTAGTAGTAGATCGAGTAAGTCTTGAATGAGCCCCGAAAGCTTGTTGCAAATAAACGAATTTTTATTCTACATCTCCGAACTATACATCCCCGTTTAATTTTGGTCATCCATTACTCTTTTGAATTATTTGTATACATTAGTGGTCTTGCTGCAACGATCCACTGAAATTCAACCATTCCCCTACCTTCCCACAACCTCAGTCAACTACCTGGCTCTTACGATGGTGAGGTTCCAGTCATTCCCACACTCTACCATAGACCCGGGGTGGGGCATGCTGGCTCAAACGGGGAGAAACGCGTACTTACAAGTCTCATGAAAAATTCTGAAGTTCCTAGTCGGGGAGGTGCAACCCCCAAAGTTTGTACAAACTCGTTGGCCCAAGCAAAAAGTCGTCCTCCACAGTTCCGTGGGCCCCCCATAGAAAGAAAACACAGAAAATAATTGAGGCGATCGCACATAAAAACATTCCTTTCCTATTCAACCAAATAAAAGTAGAAAAAAAAATAGCTTTCAAAAATAGTTGATAATTATAAGGGTTCTACGATTAAAATTTTACATTATTGGTCATGTCAATCCCTCTCTTCTACGATTATAATTTAAAGGTGCAAAAAATTGTGCAGTATAACCGAGTTGGAGTTGCATGAAAATGGTACATTTCCGAAGTTCAGAGAGAACCTAAAAGAGCAGCTCCACGAAGGAGCCTACAGGTACCTCCAAGTTGCAACGCCAAGGATGTCATTCCTCTCGGGAATCAAGCAAAGGCAGTTAGGATATTCTTCTTGAGAGTGAACTCATCAGCCTTAGCTGAGCTGATTGACTGCGCCAACAAACACAATGAAAGAAATATCAGATTTGTAGCACTCAAACACCATTTTAAAGAGATACACTGGCTCGATGGCAAGCATGCCTTTAAGAATCCATCACCAGATTTTCTGGAACAAAATATTTAAAGAAATATTCTTCTTACAAAAGAAAAATAAACAAGGCCTGATTTTCCAAAAGGAAATATTAAAAGAAATATTCTTATAGAACAATAATATTAAGAAAAGTAAACAAGCATGATATAAATAACAAGCATTTTGAAACATGTTACGGTGATTGTAAAAGAAACTTTTGACAAAGAAGGATCAGTTTTATTAATAACTAAACTTTTAAGGGTTTGCTTACCCAAAAATAAATTTAAAAAATCAAGGATCCTTTTTTTGGTCAATTCAGATCTCCTGATGAAGGCATGTCATCAACATATGATGCAGTATATTTTCATGCAGCAGTCTAGTCAAATATTTTTAAATGGGAAGGATGGAATCAAGGTTTACCTTCTCAAGAATGCGTTCCAGCCGCTGGGCTTCATTCTTAACATAATCAGCACCTTTTCCCATACAGTTCTTGGCAACTTTCAAGTAGATCTTGCCATATCTGAAAAGAAAAACAAAAATAAGTAAATATGAAGAGAAAAAAAAAGAAAAGAAAAATGAAGTACAATTTTGGATTTCACCAGCACTGATCTTTCTGGAAGTTCAAACAAAAAGGTGATATTACAGTCATGAAGTACACCCGCTTCTAGTACAAGGTTGAAGTAAATTTAAGAGAGAATAGACACTACATAGCTATTATGATAACCTTGCAGTAGAACCCTTGAGCTTCTCAACTTCTTCCTCCATTCGGGCAAATACAGCTTTCTTCTCATCATTGCCAGCACTAACAAATTCCTTCACTAAGTTATCCAAGGTTGCAACTATACCAGCCTATATTGAACAAAAGAGCATGAGTTAGGGTAAAAATAATATCATTTGGTTAATTTCTGAATAAGTTTGCCACTAACGTTGGAAGTAAGTTGTCCCTTCCCATCACGACTAGTGCCACACTTCTCATTGATGAAAGTAACAAAGTCATCTACATCCCGGCCACCATCATAGTCTTCACCAGCTTTGTTGCCCTTTGGAAAGTATTTCAGAGTAGGAAAGCCACTCACACCATATCTGCATATGCAGAGAATTTGCATCAAGATCCTTCACTTTCCAAGACACACACACACAGATAATTATGACAAACTGGAATAATGTTTAAAAAAACATATGGGGAACCTAAGTGAACATACACTGAGATTCGGGTTCAGATATACACAAATGGTGCAAGTAAATGCTGCAGGTTTTGTCATTTAGAGAAGAAAGCTGAAATTTGATAGAGCAAGACCCAGATTTCTGAGGTAAAAGAATTTATAACTACTATTAGAACTCACTTTTCACCCAGACCCTTGTATTTGTCAGCATCAAGATTAGCAATCACTACATCTTCTTCCATTTTAAATGCTGCTGCAACCTTCTCATAAATCTGCATAACAACAGCCAGCAAAAAAAACAAGTCAGAAATTTCTTTGACCAGAAGATTAGGATCCACCCAGCAATACCATGCAAGATCTACTAATGTACTTACAGGAGCAAGGTTTTTGCAGTGGCCGCACCTGTAAAGAAGGGCATAAATCAGTGGTGCAAAGCAGAATAAAATCACTTTCCACATTCAACTCAACACACAATAGCTCATACTTAACACTTGGGCTCGGCTAAACAAAGCATCTTATGCCATTCTGATCTATTGTACGAAGACAAACAATTTGAAGTTTGAACAGCTACTTATTTCATATCAAAGTACATATGAACATGGAAAGCAAACTGAACTAGCATTCTTACCAGGGTGCATAGAACTCAACTAAGACATCCTTTGTTTCGTCAAGAACAATGTCATCAAAGTTATCTTGAGTTAGCACCACTACATTTGACGGGACAGCAGATATCTTCACATTGGTCCCTGGAAATAAAATATAATACAGTCATAAGTGTTGACTGAATAATCATTTAAATCTCAAAGCACGTTAAGACTTGCATCTAATCTACACTGCATATGAATCTTAATGCCCATCCAGAAACGTGTCAAATTTTGTTCTCCTTTGCAATACTTGAAAAATAAATCAGACACAGAAAATTAACAAAACGTATATGCATGCAAGTAACCTCTCTATTGACTTGCTAAAGTTAACAGAAACACACATTTATAATAATAATATACAAACATAAATATAGAAATAGATTGATAAAGGACCAAATGCTTAGTGCAATTAAAACTTGCCAAGTTTGAGAACAGCCATTTTATCCAAATAATGCTTGAAATTGAACTCACACCTAGACCAGACATGACCAACACCGAGAAATACTGACCGTTACACACACACACACACATATAAAGAGTGCTTTAAATATCATTTCTGCAAATTACTCTACAGTTTACATCCTTGGAGATGAACACGTTTAGCATTTTCTGAAACAAAGTTACATTCCAAGGGTAATTCAAAAAGGATCCAAGAAAATTCTTACGATCAAAGAGTAAATAATTAACTCTAGCAATCTTAACCTACTATGATCCTTCCAAGAGGTTGAGCATGTATTTTTTGAGCAGCATAATATTCAAAGAAAAATACCAAAACACCCCTCCAAATTACTTCAAAAAACCAAAGAATAAGTTATGCGACTGAGAATCCCTAAAATCAAATTTTCAGGGTAGAAAGTCTGTCGTTAATCTCATTTAAACTTCATCTAAAACATATATGATTTGGACAAATTATATTCTAAGATAGAATATATATATATATATATATACACCCAACAATATCCATGTGATAACCAACCAAATCTGGAACCACATGAAGATAATGGCGATATTAACTTCTGAAAGAGAAGAAAGGGAACTACCGTACAACAAAAATCGAACTGACTGAGAAATTATAAACAGCTGTTCTGTCCTTACTCATGAATGGGAAGACCAAACTTTTGGTCAAACTTTGTGAGGCATATATCAGGTTAGAATTTGGTAGTCAACTCGCATGACTTATCCACTAAATTTGGTTTTCTTGTTATTCTGTCTTAGAGAGGGTAAGAGTAATAGAATGAAAAAAGGTTTAGCCGGTCAACCCAATGGGGATTATGTTCCAATGAACAATAAAGAGTTTCAGACGGGAGTTTCAAAGTTCTCGGAGTGAGTGGAGAAGGCTGATGAAGAAACAAAATCTAAAGAGAGATGGGTGTACGAAATATGCATAATATCTATTCTAATGTGACTTATTTTTCTTAATTTCAAAAACCAACATGCGGCAAAGCTCATTATCATCTGAGTTCCATTTTTCTGGTCAGCAACTATTATGGAATCAAGAGATGGATAAATTGGTTTGAACATCCAGACACGCTATATACCTAGAGCTTTTGAGTGACAATTTTTTCTTTGAGAAGCTCGTTAACATTTCTCCTAATACATTCAATGAAAGGTACCATTAAATTCAGAAAGATAAAAAATTAAAAATTAAAATTAAAAAATCACTATTCATAAATACAACATAGGGAAGATGAGAGAGCTCAAAAATCATTCATCTCACTAGGTATATCTGCAACAACAAAACAACTAGAACCCAATGACTGCTATACACACAGATCTTTCAAAGAATGACAAACTAGAGATTGAAGTTGCAATTCAAACTGATTCAAGATTCCAAAATATCCAAAATGAAATTCTGAAAGTCATGTTGAGCCAATTGCAAAGCTTTTTGTAAGAACTCAAGGCTTATGTAGATGATTACCAAAGAACTGGCTGAAGTTGTAACCAGGACAAGGTTGTTGGTAAGTGGTAACTTCATGATTCATTCAGAAAATAGTAAATTGTATGTAACATTTTAATTTACATATTACTGTACCTCATGCTTTTTTATAAAGAAAAATATTTCTCTAAGTTTACAAGAGTAACTGCACATATAAGATTCTCAACTTTATTTATGTACACATTATACAAGAAATGCTCCAATTTCATGCTAGTGACTTCAAGTATACTTAAGATGTATTCAAAATTCCCATTTAAAGTGTACAAACTTTAATATGATATTGAGCATATTTACTGGCAATCTTCTCTGCTCATAAGAATGAAGTAGTTTACAAATTATATGGTAAACTTGTTACCTCCTTCAGTATTCACAAACTCAACAAGGGCTTCGGCAGTACGTGCACCTTCATATCTATCAAACAGAACTCCATTAAAAGGAAGTTAGTATATTTGCAAGAGTTCCAAGGATGGGAACAATACAAAAAACGTAAGCATGTCTGAGCAATGTTTCCTTATAACATTTTCGAAAATTGTAAATTTGTAATGGAAAAGGAAATAAGGAAAATAGCAAAAGATGTATGCACTCACTTCTTGGGCTCCAAGGACCCTTTAGGAAACCATTGGAGTGTGGGATACCCAGAAACCCCATATTTGCTACAAACGCCCTTGTGCTCATCGCAGTCCACCTAACAAAATAAATAAATAAATAAAAAGAACATCTAGGACTTTCATTCATCAAAACAAAGTTAATAAACTAAGGTGACTAGTGACCTATCATTCTACATTTTAGTCTAAAGATAATTTTTAAATCAGTTTTAAAGGGAGAGACAGTGATTGTTCAAGAGTCATGACAATAAATGGGCTCACTGGTAACCATAATCATTTAAAACAAAGGTTTTTATATTAATTAGGCATCTCTAAGCAATGAACCCTAGGTCCCATGATAAGAGATATAAAAACAACAACAAAGGCTTTTCCTAATTACTTTGGGTCGGCTACCACTCTATTTAAGGCCCACCTTGGTAAGAGATAATTACATTATTTTCAATTTAAAATAAAAAATAAATCTACGTGGAAAAGCCTTAAAGAATTTCGCGGCAAAAATGAAAAATTGATGAAACCGAATCAATTGAGAGAATCAGGTCTTTTTTTTTTTTCTTTCTCAAAAGAAGAAGATAAAGGGAAACGGAAGATCCTACTTTGGAAACGGAGATACCCACATTAATAGCAGGCCTGATTCCAGCATTAAATATATCAGTGGATAAAAATATTTGTCCATCAGTAATGAAAATTACATATTAGTAGAGATAGAGAGAGAATATGCCCTAAACCAAAATTAATAATGTACTCGTCGTCATAATCATATATAAATTATTTGGTACATGAAAGTCGGAGAAACTCACATCTATTTCCACCAACCAATAGGAACAAATTAGGCAACTACAAAAATTTGTTATCTCAACTCTTTTAAGCTTGCCTCCTTGCCTAGTTAAGTGGTCAGGCCTTAAGAATCACCTAGCTTACATTTTTCCAAGGGCACACTCTCTAAGAACATAAACTTATAGCCCATCAATGTCGTGAGAATAGACCCTAATCTCCTTATTGAATTTTCATGACAACCCCATCTTGATTGATGACACATCTTTTGCATCAAAATTTAAGGATGATGTTGAGTACTTTGACTTGAAATTTTAGGGAGAAAAGAATATTATATAAGACATGCTAGTTAGTCAAGACTCAAGATTATAATACTTCTCGATGCAAAAAGAATAAGTAAATAAATAAAACGTGTATAAATACTAGCATTTGTCAAGGTTTAAACTTTTGACAACTTGTGGCTTGCTGCTAAATTCTAATTCAAAAGGGATAATAGATTTATTCGGGTAAATTTCACCGAAAATGAAACAGCCGATAATAAGGTAATACGGCAGGTCTTGGAACACAAAAATAAAAAGTGAAACTCTATAATCTTTTAAGTAGTACAGTAAAATTCAGACAAATGCCTTAAAAACATTCGATTGAAGTACAACTGTACAACTCAATCACTAGAAAATTTGAATATTTTGTATTGTCAAATTTCAGCCTACAATTGACTTATCAAAAAAACAATAATAATTTCAGCCTACAATTCAACATTTCTAATTAAACACTCAAAGAAAATTCATAGCTAGTTAATCTGTGTGTGTGTGTGTGTGTGTGTACGTGTGTATCCATAAAAGAAGCATTGCCATTACAAAATCTTCAAACTTGAAAAAAATGATAGTAGAAAAAATCTTAACCTTTCCAATCAGTACAGATTTTGCCTTTTTGAAACTTGCACCAAGCTTCTCATACTCTGGAGCAAGCTTTTTACAGTGCCCGCACCTGCCATAGGACAGAAATCAAATATCTTGGTGTCATCCTGATATAACGCAACTGAGCCAGGTAAGTGATCTAGAAGCACATCAGGGGAAAAAAAAAAAAAAAAAAATGAAAGAAAAAAAAAATGAAGAGAAAAGACCTAATATAAATTATACTACATAAAATTTTTGTTGTTTTATATCTGAATTGCCTGATTGCCCTTCATGCAGCAAATGGAAATTCATCATCTGAATTGGGGAATTAAGAACAATCGGAAACTAAACCATGTTTCATCATGGTTGCTTAAAACAAAAAAAATTTATAGCTTCTCAAAGTGACTTGACAGACAACTACCACTTCTTAAATGATGTCATTCAAAATAGGCAAATAGCAGAATTCTTCATTGAAATTCCATGTAATAGTCAACATAACCATTCAAGGGAAGCCCGAAAATGCCCTTAAATAAATGTAACAGACAACCTAAGACCACGTCTAGGCCAACAATGATCTTCTAACTTTTTGTTCTCAAAATGTCATGATTTACAACCCACTTACCATGGAACCAAGTTAGCAATATCATTATCCAACATCTAATAGAATGCTTAATAAATTTAGTTGCATTCTGAACCTACTCATAATCAAGGCCAGAAAAAATACAAACTCTGTGAACTCATATAGCAAAATCAGTGTTCGCTGAGATAACCTTTGGTCAACATCCCAATAGCACTTTGCTCACTTTGCAAAAAAATATCAAAATTGCAACCAAAAACGGAACAAATATTTCAAAAATACTAGCAGAATGGTACTATGATGTAAGAAACAAATGATTAACATAACCAAAATTATCATTTTGCAAAACATAATAAAAAAAAATGTCAAAAAACACGCGCACAAACACACACACAACAACTGTTGAATTACTTATAATATCAAAACATTTAATTTGAAGCTAAACAGTACAGAATCCAAACAATGCCCAGAAAGAAATCAAATATGAGATCAAATAGACATGAACATAGCTGATATATCATATATCTCAATCTTACTCGGATCTAGATCGATCAAATTGCAATAAAACAGCCATCGAGTGTAATAATCACAGATCTACACATCAGACGCAGTCAACGTAGCTATCGGTCACTACAGACCAATCTCAATTCATTAAAATTCAAATATAAATCATAATTACTATATATAATACATATGAATATATATTTTGATTATGGATTTATACCAAGGAGCGTAGAACTCGACGAGAGCGCCTCGATCTTGACCGACCTCCTTCTCGAAGTTGTCTTCGGTCAAGACGACGACTTCCTCGGCAAAGGCCGATGAGACTAAGAAGGTTGCTAGGGTTAGGAAGACATAGAAGATCCGTGAGCTCGACATTTTTGAAGCTTAGTTCCTCTGATCAATGTGACGATTAAACCTACCAAAGGTAAAGAATGAAGAATATACTGATACTGTTGTGTGACGGGTTTGGATATTTATACCTAAAATTAACCTACGCAACTAGTATATCGTAGCTTAGAAGCAAATGTTTACCTGCCAAAAAATATATGTGTTATTTCTATATATATATATTTTCAATCTTTTCAAAGTATTAGACTAAATATTTTTCAACAAATTTCAAAACTTAAAAATTTATAATTAAATTGTGTAATATCAAAACTTTATTCGAACCAAGTATATAAATTATATGAGTTGGATATTCGTTTGTTATGAAATTTTATTCAAGTTTGCGAATAAATATGAATCATATTATAATTTAAATTTGAATTAATCTGAATATACTCATGTTTCGGTTCAATTCAATTTGACTTTATTCTTTTTTGATTAAAAAAAAAAAAATGAAAAGAAAAGAAAAGAAGAAGGAGAATCACAAAATTTAAAAAGTGATAAATAAGGAAATTTCATAAGGTTGCTTAATTAATTTTTTTTTTAAATTATTATCTTTATTTATCACTATTTTTATTTTGTAATTAAAACTTATTTACAAAAATGTGATTACACATGATTAGTAGGATGACCTAAATAAATCTTGGCTTTATATTTTTTTTTTTTCAGAATTAAAATATTATAATTCATTTTTGTTGGATCCATTTGGTTGCGAATGGAAAATTCACAGCTTCAATTCTTAATTTGAGTAATTTCAAAGCTAAAATGGAAGGCCTCGAAAACTGTTATTTAAAATAAAGTAACGAATTCAACTTAGTCCGGTTTAGTTAATTTGACATCAATTAATTGACTAAACCACTTCAAATTGTTGAGTTTGAAGCTGATTTATATATAATTATGGACAAGGAAAAAAATAAAAAATAAAGGACAATAATTTCATCTGAAAACAAACCAACCAAACTGTACCAATCAGAATTTTCATTATTCACAAAATTCCAATGTCTTTTTCATATTTTCCGCCCATGAGAGAGAGAAAAAAAAAAATTACCAAAATGGAAAACGTTGACAAAAAATATGCCTACTTTAACATGCGATTTTAATATTTTAATATCCTATTTGTTCTAGTAATATGTTAATCTATATGAATATGAGATTTTCTCGTGTTATTATAAAATTTCAACTTAAATAAGCATCATTACTAATTACTACTCCTATTTGTTTTCACAAAATAAATCAATTTTTATTTCATAGTATCTTTTATGGTAGAAGAATTTGATTGGTACAAAAATTATAACAAAAACTGCAATATTTTTTATTTTTTCAATATTTCTTTAAATTCCTCTATTTATTTTTGTTTATAGAGTCACATAGATCATTTGTTTTGATCATTATATTAATGAACAAATACCAATCTAATTATATATAAGAGATGTAATCTTAAGTCTCTATGCATTGAGATGCAATGTGATATATATATATATATATATATATATATATATATATAATTTGCTATACATGGTGATTGAAATTTTAATGGTCAACAAATATACTATATTAAGATTAAACAAAAAAAATGGACTATAATTTTTCAAATAGTTAATTACCTTATATTTAAAAATAGGTCACATTATATTTGATACATAAGTAGCTACATATATTCAGTAAAATAGTAGGTTTTTATTTATCGAGCTAAAGAGCAGTACTCTTTCTAATTTCGTACGAAGGTTGGGTATAGAAACAATGGTGATTGTTTTGAAAAGAAATACTATATATATATATAAATATAAAATAGGGTTAAGTTTAAGCAAAAATTGGGTAATGGTTATATTTAAAAATTTTTAAATATGTATTTAAATTATATTGGACCACCATCTGAAAGGGTAAACTTCATCCCGCTAAGAAATCAAAATAGTTTAAGAATTCCTATTTCCCCCGCATACGTAAAAGTGTCGGGCAAAATTTGACACGTGGTTGGATAAAATAATTTGTTTTAATTAAATATATATATGAAAATAAATTTATATTAGATAAACAAACCGGAAAGGGGGTGTTGCGAGAATCGAACTCGCGACCTCTCGCACCCGAAGCGAGAATCATACCACTAGACCAAACACCCTTTGTTGACGTCGGCTTGGCAATTAAGATGAATAATTCTAATTTAATTCATAGATTTGCCTGTCCCAAATTGGGTCATTTCTGACCTAACTGGCCCACCTCCTTCTTCCTCCTCCTCCTCCCCTCTCTCTCTACCTCGCAAGTTCATTGGGCTTAGTTTCCAGTTGATTTGAGAAAAAAAAAACTTCCACTTTACAGTTTTGGCTCACTCTATACAATCTCGGTTCAATAGGGTTTTTATAGTTCTTCTTTTTAGTTATTTCAACACCAATATTGCGAATACACCTCATCCATATTGATAAAAAGGTCACTGAGTGATTAGCAATGGCTCAGCCTAGCAACAATGTAACCTTATTTGTCTCCATACTCCCTTTTACACACACACACACATATAGACACACACGCATGTTTTTGAAAGCTATATTTATATCAAAACTGCTTAATTTGATTGATATGACTGTATATTTATCATATAATTGTTGTGCAGAATGCTGGAGTTGACAACACCTTTAGACGCAAATTCGATCGAGACGAGTATTTAGAACGTGCTCGTGAGCGTGAACAAAAGGTTCATCTTCTTCTTCTTTTTTCAACCCTCAGTTGTCTCATATGAGTCATATGTCAAGTGAATTTTTTTTTTTTTTTTTTTTTGCCCTCTTTTTTATTTTCATATTTCCTTTATTAATGATTTAACTGCATTTTAATTTAGGAGTCGGAGGGCCGATCTAAGAAATGTAAGTCAGTTTAATAATTATTTTATCGCTAGCAATTATTATTATTAAGTCAGTTTAATTAAATCTGTTTATGTGTATATATATAAAGTGTGTCTATTTGTTAAGATGCTTTAGCATTTTGGGTTTTAATTGATGGGTTTGAACTTTGAAGTATGAGCAATTTTAGTTATGTGCAGCGAAAGGTCCTCCGGTGCAAAGGAAACCGTTGAAGCACAGGGATTTTGAGGTGGACCTCGAATCTCGTTTGGGAAAGACTCAGGTTAGCTGCATTATGTTTTGTTTATATGGGCAGCCTTTGTAGTTATTGGTGAATGAATAATATGGGATGTTGAGTGCACACTGCATATACTTTTTTTAAGGAAAATGATTTAACTAATGTTATTGGATTTTTTGCTTCTGCACACGATTGAAGTAAATAGAACAGTATAAAGCATCGAACATGTCTTCTGTGGCAAAGTAGATAACTTGATAAGTTCAATATTGGGATTTGTCTTAAGGTTGTTTACCAGACGCCTTTGGAGTTTGGAATTGTTCTTAGAATTTTAATATTATGCATATTGGAATTTTATCATGGACGATTATTTCATTTTGTATGCATTGATTGTTGAATGCTCCAAAATTTTGATTTTAATGTGTGTGTGTGCAACTGATGGCTGCTTCTACTTGAAGATGGGCAGATCAGTTTTAATGTAGGTGCCTCTTCCTATGTTTTGCTAAGCACAACTTTAGAGGAGATAATGGGGGAGAGCCTCATCTTTTAAAAAGGGGCCAAAGGAGATCTAGCCTTGTCTCTTATATAGGGGAACCATAAGTAACACTTCTAAGTTCCCAGGCAAGCAGGTCCATTACAAACTCTAAAGTAGATTTTTGCATTCTACCTGTAGAATTTTTTGCAACTTTTCCAACTCATTTTACATAACACGGGAAAAGAGAAATAAAGTAGGTGGGTGAACTAGATAGAGTACTCTTTATAAAAGTCACTCTCCCCTCTTTTGGTAGATATTGCCCCTTTAGACACGCTGACCTCTTCTTGCATCTTTGCATGACTCTATTTCACACCAACTAGGCTTTAAAAGATCCTATGGGACGACCAATATATGCTACTGGCCCCAGCAAGACCTCCATCTTCCCGTCTGCGATCAAAGCACTCTTCCCTAGGTGTTGCTCAAATCTGATACCACCTTAAAAGCACAAGAGAATTCAACCAAGGTTTCAATAAGTGCAACATTTCAAAGGAGCATCGTATCCCTGCCTGCCACAAAGCCAAACCTCTGCCATACAAAGCTTTTACAACTAAAGCATTACTGCTATAACATCCACCATTCCACTCTCACATTTCAAAATGCAATTATCCAAATGGACCCATTTCATTATGTGATTCAGATAAACTGATATGCTTATACCTTTATGTTACAAGCTTTTTATTTTTTTTATTTTTATAAATTATGGATTTAAAGTAGACGATGCTTGGACCTTATTTGATTTTCTCATATTATGTAAGAGTGTGATGACTAACACACTAATGCATTTTGAGCATTTGATGGCCATATATACTTGAGAAACATGTTTCTTTCATTTAAATGAACGTTTCAATGTGTGCTTCCCCTTACTCTATTTTTTCCCTTTCTTTTGGTACCTTTGTGTTATTTTCTTTATCCTTTTGATTGGGATGATTGAGTCATATCGGTACTACATGGTTGTATTAGAGCTCATGGATACTGGAGCTTTAAACCCTTAAATTTTTTAGCATAAAAAGAAAGGACTTTAGCATAAATATGATGAGCCTGTAAAGGGTGGCTGGATGGACCAGTGTTTGGGCCTTTGGCCTGGACTTCCAAGATCAATTGCTTATTTTATGGAGATTTTAACTGTAAAATTTGGTTTCTTTTCACCATTTTTCTTGATACTTGTGGAGTGATGGAATCTATTCTGCTTGTGGGAATTATGTGTTTCTGGGTGTTTCCTGCCATGGTAAGCACGGTTGTTCTTTCTATGTCAATTTCAAAATATTGAAACAACATTAGGCATCTTATACTGGACTTCTCTTTTTTTTTTTCTTCTTATTTGTTTAATCACACAGTTCATGACTTCACTGTATTGACCCCCCTTTTTTCCCCTAATTTATTGGCAGGTTGTTACCCCAATAGCACCCCTGAGCCAGCAGGTATTATTTGAACACAGTTTCCTATGTGTGTTTTCCTAATTACGTTTCTTTTACTGCAATCTGGAGAGCAAGTACTGATAGTTGTTCCCTCTCTTTTTGCAAGAGAAACTCCGAAGTCTCTTTGAAATTAATAAATTTTTACTACAATGAAACATGATTTGATGTGTGACTTCTAATAGATTTGGGCAAGATTCGGTAGAGATGTGAATATTGCAGTGGTGTTTTCATGTTTTTAGGATTTCAAGTTGTAGATCAGACCCTTTTTTGATTTTGAGCTTATGATTATGATGATGATGATGATGCCCAATTTGTCTTTAGATTGTAGTTAATACCGTATTTATCTTGAGTTGTGCGACAATTAGCCTGGTACAAATTATCTTTGGGAGAGGTGATATGCACAAGCGCTTTAGACCTAGTGCTTACCAATTACTTTTAGTGTTCATATATCTATCAAAAAAAAAAAATTTACTTTTAGTGTTCATACATTCTTTTCACGTGGTACCTGCCTTTTTAGTAGTATAGTGAATATTCTGCATTTCAATGCTCTAGATGCTAAAGGGTATTTAAGTTGAATCATAATTTCCGGTTCTCTTTCGAATGAGATTTTAACACCCCCCAAACACACCCCCAAGAAAAAAAAGAAAAAGAAACCTGGGGGAATCACAGAAAACATTATATGGTGAAATGCATGGGCCTCTCGCAGCAATACGTTAGGTGATCCTGGTCCCTTACCAAGTTTGAGACCATATATATTTGATCCAAATGGTAACCGTTTCTTTATTTAGTTGTAACAATTGTGTATAGGGAATTTTCTGAAAATGAAGAAACGCGTGTGCAATTATCTGTGACCCTATTCTATCTTGCAAATTGTTTGCTTTGGTATAATTAGTTCTTTTGCAGGCTGGATATTACTGCTCAGTTTGTGAATGTGTTGTAAAGGATTCTGCAAACTACTTGGACCATATCAATGGAAAGAAGCGTACGTAGTCATCCATATATAAACTGCTTGAATAAATTACATTACCTTCCCTGTGGTATAACATATCTACACTGGCCACCCCTGTTGTAAAAATCACATTGACTACACCTAAGGTTATAATACTTGTAACAGATACTTTCCATGCTAACGATCAAAGTCAAAAGACGGAACTTGCTGACCTTGGCAAAATTAAATTTTAAATTTGCTTGTCTTTTCACTTTATCTACACTTTTCAACTAAAATAGTATAATAATTGTTGAGGGCAACAAGGTAAAATCACTCCCACTTGACGTCGTCAAACAAAAATGTTTGACAGGGGAGACTAGTGTAATTTTTAAATCATTTCGGAAGTCTGTGTTATTACCCTATACCTCAAGGGAAGTGACTGTAATTTGTTTTAAATTCTGACCCAGAATGATTTTCACTTTCTTATGGTTCGCTTGATTTTGTTCTTAGATCAAAGAGCTTTGGGTATGTCTATGCGGGTCGAACGGGCATCTCTTGAGAAGGTACACATTTACATGTACTTTCATACATCTCACAGCAATGTGGATATAGAGAACCAAGTCAATGAATGAAGCTGAAAACAAGCTTTCTGATGAATGGAACTATTTTATTTAAGTGTGAACTTATGTCACTGTTTGCAGCATTTTTTCAACTACTCAATGATCAAATGAATATAAAATAGTTAAATAAATATCATATTAACCGAGGTATTTGGTTTAATAATCTGATGGAAAAAAGATGATAATTGTATGAATTGCTTGTACCCCACCAAAAAGGCTTCAGAAAAAGAAAAAAAAGAAGTTATCTTATGGTCAATAAAAAAGTAATTTGATGTCCTGCATTGGATCAATATATCAATTAAATAAAAAGACACACGCGCTGCCTATGGGTTGCAGCGCCAAATTACAAAAGTGATTCAGATTGACACATTGACATCCATGACTCAAATGGGTCAACTTGTTGATTTATGAGGCTAAAATAACCCTATAGGAAAAAGGAAGACAAAACAATGCAATAACCAGGGTCAATGTACTAAATGGATAACCTTATCAAGGGAGGTGGATAGGCTTTCTAGGGACATGCCATTTCCTTGTTAATGCCCTGAAATTAATTAATTAATTAAGAGTAAAAGAACTAGATATTTATTTCTTGAATCTTGATAAGACTCAGGACTTTTAAAATCTTGCAATAACATTGATTAGGAGAGCAGTCCTGCCCAGAAGCATCACTTAGCCTTATTCTGAAATTTTCTAGAAGTTCCGACCATTTAGTCATGGACTTTAGTTCAGTACTCAGATTGGTCTTCATTTATGGTCATTTTAACTGCCAAAATTTATGGGTTGACCCATTGGGTCATGCAATAACCATCTGGAGTTTTGGACCACTTTTGTATTTTAGGTCACAACCCTTGGGCTTAATGAGTGGGTTTTAATTTAATTGATACATTGGGCCATGTGGTAAACATCAGTCTCATTGGTGTCAAAGGTTAGGTCTGCCTTGAGTCCTCCTTCCTTAGGACCCTCCTTTTATTTGGCCATGTGGTAAATAGGGCTGCAACTTGGGCGGGTTGGAGGTACAACTCAGCCCCAACCTGAGATATGAAATGTTCAACTGTAACCCAATCCAAACCCAACCTTCAACCTGAACTATCCAACCAAGCCCAACCCATCTAACTTGGGTTGAGATTTTGGGTTAGAAAGTCAGGTTAGATTGGGTTCATGAATATATATTACATAATCAGGCTTAGATTTTGGAAGAAAATGATAAGGTGCATTGTTGTACATGAATATATATGTATATATATACACATATATATGAGGACAATACTTGCTTACTCACCAGTGAGTAAGATTCTCCTCCTCACCACCGATGTGGCACAATAATAGAGCAACACATGTCCATTTTGAATTCAAAATATAAAATGGACACAAGTTGTTCTATCATTGTGCCACATCGGTGGTGAGGAGGAAAATTGTCTATTCATTGATGAGTAGACAAGTACTCTCTTATATATAATATATTACATATAATCGGGTTGCCCGAGTTAGCTAATCAGGGACGAGCTAGGGTTGGGGTTCAGGTTACCCAACACATAAACCTGAGCCCGGACCGAAATGAATTTGGATCCCTCTTTCTAAGCCAAGCCCGGACTGAATTCCAAATACCACTACCTAAGCCTTAAAATTTTCGGGTTGGGCTCAGGTTAGCTTGTCTGAGTTGCAGCCATAGTGGTAAACATCAGGTTACAACTTCATTGGCCATGAAATTTCTTTCAAAGTGATTAACGAAGCTTAGAGAAGCTATATGATTATATTTATAAATCCAAGCACTCAAAGTTCCGTTTTAATTATCTGGCCACCAAAAAATCGTCTGCCAAACATTCACAAAGTTGCATATAAATTACAAGAAGACACTAAAAAACCAAAAAAAAAATAACACAAAGACTAATGGGAGCTCATGCTAATGGAGATACAAGAAGTAGACACACACTAAAAAACCAAAAAAAAAAGAACATAACGACTAATGGGAGCCCATGCTAATGGAGATACAAGAAGAAACTTCTATAAATCTTTTAATGGAGATGGTACATATTTTATGATGTCCACAGAGAGAGGTCATCGTAGTGCTTTTGGGATGTTGGCAAAGATCATTACCAACTCAATTAAACGTAAGTGGTAGTTATGCTCTTTAGGAAAGGAATACTTGATCATGAAGAAGCTGATGGCTCCTCGCACTTATGTTTATGTGGCATTCCAGCCATTGGCAATCGTGAGTGGCTATATCTTGGACATATCATTGCAAAAAGTTTATCTAATTAAATGGTTGTAACACACTCCTTAGTGCCATTTTCTTGCTTATTTGAAATGTTCTTTTGTAATAGTATAAAAGAGAAGTAAATATTAAACTGTAATTTTTTAAAAAAATATATATTTAATATGATGCACAGGTCCAGGAGAGATTTGAAGTTCTCAAGAAACGGAAAGATACTGGCAGTTTTACCGAGCAAGGTAAGACTTGAAAGCAAGAAGCTTGTCCAATACGTAGGCAGTTGGAATTTAAGGGTTGTATGAGTTGAGAGGTTACTTAATGACTACAAACAATGACATTAATTCAAATTTCATCCATTTGCTCATTTCACTTTCTTTCAGATTTCAACTGTCTTTTCTGTCTTATCCATTACCATTGCTTGAAACCTAACGGGAAAAAATGGAAAATTGATGTCACTTATCAAAAAAAAAAAAAAAAATTGGAAAATTGATGTCTATACCTGATCTATGTAGATTTTGATGAGCGGATCTTAAAACAGCAGCAAGAGGAGGAGGAAAGAAAGCTTCAACGTCGTGAAAAAAAGAAAGAAAAGAAGGTCAGTACCATGGATGGTTTGTATGACTCTTATTTTTGAGGCCTTATCGATGCACAAAATTAAATCAAAAGGGAAAATTAAATACAGCATGTGTGCATGCTATTGTTTAATATTGCCTCAGTGGGAGAGTATATCCTTCTCATGCAAAACTAGGTAAAAAAATTTGCGTGCAAGATTGTACACAAACTGTTGAGACATGATCTTATGTTTTAGCACATCTGTTCAGTACTACAACTCGGCCAAAATAGGGGGTGTGGGGGAAGAAGCTCAGTACTAATGCCAAGGGGCACAAGTGGCACTCAAAGTATTCTGACCTTTTTGCTCCCTTCCCCTTCTCTCAAATGACTTCTAGCACAACCTCTCTCGTTATTTCTCTCTCCAGAAACAGTTTCAGTTCCCTTCATTCTATCTCTGGAAAGAATTCTCAGCTCCTTTACCTTCAATTCCTCTTTTAAGATGAGTTTCTTTTCTATCTACTTATATTCACTCTCTCTTCTCTAGAAAGACAAAAGTTGAAATAATGGATGAAAATTTCAACTTCGAATCAAACTCAACAGGAAGGTTAAGAACACCAATACAAACTACCATGGCAAGTGCAAATCTTTGCTTCCATGAGAGAACTTTTGTTTAAGCTGTCTGATTTTGGCAAGCTCCTTCCAATGGGGTTCATTGCCGGTGGGCAACAATGTTTTCTGATTGCTCAAATAATGGGCATCAATATTTATTTTATCTGAAAATCGAATCAGCGCATAATGTGTTAAGAAAGAAGAACCTCCTTTCGTATGAAAGCAGCATTTGATAAAAAAAAAAAAACTCTGTGAACATCAGTTTCCAACTCACTCTGATTCCTCGGTAGAGGGAAAAAAGAGTTGGCATTGGTGCTGACAGTCCCCTGAGAGAGAAGGGGAGGGGGGAAGTACATGGATAGACCTGTATGTAACTTCTGCCGGGGGAAGTACATGGATAGACCTGTATGTAACTTCTGCCCACTGTTCTCATCCACAGTGTTCATTTTCCTCAGTAAATTTTATTTGTATTTGTCTTACAAGTCACTTTTCCGAGTTCACTATGGTTGTTGATCTGTATTATGATCAGAAAGCGAAGGATGCAGAGGAGGAAACTGAGTTTGACCCTGATGTTGCAGCTATGATGGGATTTGGGGGTTTCGGTTCATCCAAAAAGTGATCATGCTTGAGTATACCTTTCTTTGCCTAATTAATCTTCGGAAGCTTCTGAAAAATTGAAAAAGGACTCTCTTTAAGAGGCAGCATAGTCTAAACTCCATTGCCTTCTAGAAATTGTAACTCTTAAAATTTATTATGTTCCTTTGAATTGTACAGCTAGTATAAAAATATTTTGACATATTGTTACATGTTTTATTGGTGATGTAAAATCTTTTATCAATTTTTGAACATCTAATGTTGCCCTAAACTTTTAGTAGTTAATCTTTATACATTTGCTCATCTGGTTAGTGTTGTTGAATTATTGTATTGATTTATAAAATCGAATGCATATGTTGGGAAAGAAATCAGCATTGGTTGTGGGATTGTTGACATGGCGTGTGGACTGAATTGAAGATTTTTATCCACATGCAATCATTTTTTTTTTTTTGGAAAGCTGACATGCAATCATTTTGTTAACGTTATTAAAATGATTCATATATAAAAGATTTATTTTTGTCTAAATTTATTTTCAAAGCGGATTTAGCAATTGACAATGGAAGGCTTAGTGAACCCGAAATTGAAGTTAAGCAGCCAAGTGTTTTCCTGTTTTTTCTTTGCCTTCACATTTGCTCTCCTCTTTATGCTTATGCGTGGACCAGTGCGTGCATGTGGAATCAAAAGAAAACACAGCGAGCGAGCAGCTGATCCAGAAACAAAGTATCTAATCTCTATGTTTATTTTTATTTATTTATTTATTTTGGTAAACTGAGGGGAGGAGAGACTCAAAAACGAGCACATCCGTTGGGGGAGTTGGACACTCTATTAACTAAACCATTGAGCAGATAGTCTCCATCTTAAGATCATTCATATGAACTACAGAAAAGTGTCTTTTAATGCCACATATTTTGTCATAGCATACAAGTGTGTAGCTAGGGATGACAATTTTGTAAGAAATCTAATGGGAGTATTTAACTATGTATGCAATTCACAATCTCATTTATGTGTATTTTAATGCCACATATTTTGTCATAGCATACCAAAGTGTGTAGCATAGGGATGACAATTTTGTAAGAAATTTAATTTAGGGATGACAATTTTGTAAGAAATTTAATTGTGTGGTGAGAGTATTCAACTATGCATGCAATTCATAATCTCTCAATCAAAACAATCCAAAGTTTGATACACACTCACGTTACAAGATAAACACTTATGCTACAATGCCCTGGTGAAGAATTAATTCACATGGTACCGTCCAGTGCATTTAAACCTATAATGCAGCATTCACAATATTAAATTGATAAGGCAATAAAGATGTAAAAGTATTGCATTTTTGATATACTAGCGTTACAATGTTAATATTGTAACTCAATGTAATATGTTGCATGATTATTTCATTTTCGGTATAAATTTGTTGCATGAGTGTTATATTGTTATGCAAGAAGAGGAGAAAGATGGCGTACAAGGCCGACCCTGATATTCCCAAAAATTTGAGAAGCTCCAGAGACGAACTTTCAAATGCGAGACCTTTTGTTTGTGTTTATTCATTTTTAGTTTTGGCCCATGTCCTAAATTTGAGACCCTTCCAAGTCGGCCAGCCATGAGGTAGTATCCATGTAAAGTGCATTGAACAACACTTGAGAATATGAGATTTGTGAAAACTTTGAAATGCACATGATGCATTTTGTGTCCACTGTTGTATTGATGATACGGTATCATCAACGAATTAAATACCGATAATCCCAATCTTTCAGTTTTTAAATTATTGTTATTCCAATTGCCCCCGCCAACCCAACTCACTTTTCAAATATCAGTTACTCTTCATAGCATTCCCTGTCATATTGTGTGTTGTTATATAGGGTGAAAGCATGAGTTGCCGAGAGGTCGAGAGGAGAATCCTCCGGCTCCTCCACGACCGCAAATCCCGAACCCAGCTTACCCAAATCCACGCTCACTTCCTCCGCCACCACCTCCACCAGTCCAACCAAATTCTTGCTCACTTCATCTCCGTTTGTGGCTCTTTTGACAAAATGGCATACGCCAATCTCGTCTTTCGCCAAACCCACTACCCCGACATCATCCTCTTCAATTCCATGATCAAAGGCCATTCCCTGTGTGGACCCTTTGATGAGTCCCTCCATTTGTTCTCAGTCATGAAGAACCGTTGGATTTGGCCCAATGAATTCACTTTTGCACCTCTTCTTAAGTCGTGTACGAATCTTGTTGATGTCAAAACGGGTCAAGGGGTTCATGCTGAGATTCTGAGGCTTGGATTTGAGCGTTTTGGTTCCATTCGAATTGGAATTGTTGAGTTGTATACTAGATGTGCGAGGATGGATGACGCAATGAAGGTGTTCGATTCAATGCCTCAGAGGGATGTGATTGTTTGGAATTTGATGATTCGTGGGTTTTGCAAAATGGGTGATGTTGGGATGGGATTTCGTCTGTTTAGGCAAATGAGTGAACGGAGCATTGTCTCTTGGAATTCAATGATCTCTGGTTTAGAAAAAAATGGCCGCGATGTAGAAGCTTTAGAGCTTTTCCATGAAATGAGGGACAGTGAATTTGAACCGGATGAGGCAACTGTGGTCACGGTGCTCCCTGTTTGCGCTCGTTTGGGGGCTGTTGATGCTGGCCAATGGATCCACTCTTACACTGAGTCAAGGGGACTTTACCGGGATGTCATTTCTGTGGGAAATGCGCTGGTTGATTTCTATTGCAAATGTGGGGTTTTGGAAACTGCTTTCATGGTTTTTAAGGGCATGCCTCTTAGAAATGTGGTTTCTTGGAATGCCATGATCTCGGGATTTTCTTTCAATGGAAAGGGTGAGGATGGGGTTAACTTGTTTGAGGAGATGATAAGCAAAGGCGTGAACCCTAATGATTCGACTTTTGTTGGTGTTCTAACATGTTGTGCCCATGGAGGATTGGTGCAAAGAGGTAAAGATTTGTTTGCTTCAATGATTTCAAATCACCAAATCAAGCCGAAACTTGAGCATTACGGATGCATGGTTGATCTTCTTGGTCGTAGTGGATGTGTGAAGGAGGCTCACCACTTAATTTGCACCATGCCGATGAAGCCAAATGCAGCTTTATGGGGTTCATTGCTTAGTGCTTGCCGTACTCATGGTGACATGGAGCTGGTGGAATGTGCAGTTAAGGAGCTTATTAAACTAGAACCATGGAATTCTGGTAATTACGTGCTGTTGTCGAATATTTATGCAGAAAGAGGTAAATGGGATGAAGTCGAGAAGGTAAGAGTGTTGATGAGAGAAAATAGAGTTGATAAATCACCGGGACAAAGCATGGTCGGAAATTAACACAGCATCAGTTTAATTGGTTTACTTCTTGTTCATGGTGCACGTTTGGGGTCCGGTATCATGGTTCCCTGCCGTTAAATTATGGATGGAGTCTTTCACTTTAAAGGATTAGGGAATGACATGCGACAACATAAGAGGGCTAATATCTTGAAGCAACAGTTTTAAACCTATTAAAGGTAAATTTGGCGAAAATGAATTCATAGATAAGATATGTAACTTTTTTTAAAAATTCTGGTTAGTTAGCATCATAAAGGGAAATAAAGAAATCTTGTTATTTATGCTTCTTCCACCGGTGCTGGAATTCTCTTTGCAAATATTGAAGGATATGTTTTGTGTACGAAAAGAGAGATTATAATAAAATATATTTAACCTTTTGGACTCTTTGTGCCGTGAATGTATGTCTTAGTGGCAGTTGAACCACATAATAGCTGCATGTTCTACTTGTTTAATTTCTCTTTTCACATATATTTTATGCTTTACAACACATAAATATTTATGTTTATAGTTGACATTAATGAACTTGGATCATCCTGGGCCATTTTCGTCATAATCATTGCTTATGCAACAATATTACATCACTTATGCAACAATTATGATATATTACACATGATCTCTGATCCAGGATTCTGTTCGAGCTTCAAGTGAGGATCTGATTCATGCAGTGGCAGTTGTACATAATATTGAAAAAGGGTCCGTTGATGCTTCAAAATAATAATTGAAATGTCTACCGGTATTGTTTAATGGACTTATATATGATCAGTGTTGACTTGGCTAGATTTGATTCGACGCTCGAATTTTTAATCTTTTAGGGGTTAAGAAACTTGATTCCTTCAACTGGATAGGACGTTGCACTCATTTAATTGGAGCACACTGTCAGGCCCCCACTGAAAGATTTACGCGCCAATGCTGAGATCATGGTGTATGTCGCATGAGTAGAATTGAATTATAGAATATAGAGATTAAGGAATACTGTAGAGAGAGTTGAAATATTTTAGAATATTAAAAAATTAATATATATTTATAGAATATTAGAGAGATTTGGAATATATTAGAATATTAGAAAGTTGATGAATTAGAAGGATAGATGTCTATAAATAAGTGTTGATATCATTTATAAGTTTAACATTGAAATGTGTGAGTGACTCATTAAATAACATATAAGTGGTATTTATAAGGGTTTATTAGAGAAAATAATGAATTGTTATATACACCAACTAAATTATTGTAACTAGTCTACTTTACACTTAAAAACTTTTACTAACTCAATTTTTCCACGGGGAACTTCTGATTTACTATTCAAAACTATTGATTATTATTCAAAATTTTATTGTATAAATAAATCAACTTTTAATACATGCAAGTTTAATGATATATATTTATATTCCTGAAATCAAATTAATTAAAAAATTTGCAGTTTACTTATCTTATGTTTCCCAATTATCATCAATTTAGTGATGGTTCTTCAACTAGTTCAATTTAGCTATTCAAATACAACGTCACAAATTGAATAATACATAAAAATAAAAAAAGACGTTAGATTATCTTTATATGAAAATTATCATATTCACAAATAAAAGTTATTTCGAGTATTTGAAAAAGAAAAAAAAAAAAAAAAAAAAAAAAAAAAAAAAAAAAGAGAAATAAAGAAGTTTAAAAAGATTCAATGAAGTATCATTATATGAGTAATTTGGATAGCTCAGTTCATAGCAACATTCTTTTGAGTTGTGTAAGAGCTTAGCTCGACTCACGTCATCCCCTCCCATCTTGTCAAGTTAAAATAATAATAATAATAAAAAAAAAAAAACAGCTGTCCGGACCAAAAAGTGACTGGAATCGGATTTCGGGTTCATCTCGGACCACTAGTGCACTGTCTGTGCTCCTTAATAATAATAAAAAAAATAAAACAGCTGTCCGGACCAAAAAGTGACTGGGATCGGATTTCGGGTTCATCTCGGACCACTAGTGCACTGTCTGTGCTCCTTTTGGCCGTTGCCATGTCTTTCTTAAGCCATGTATAATTCTCTCCATATCTATAAAATATTTCGTGTCTTGCCTTATGGTTCCATTGGTAGTAAGTTGCAATGCTTATTTATAAATCATAAAAGTTTTAAAACTGAAACCAAAATAATCCATAGAATTGTAATGCTTTATCTAATACAGTATAAATTTACAACCCATCATAGGATAAAGGATATGAAACACAAAATTTCATTTTCCATTGTGAAACTTGTTGGAAATGGGGGCATTAAAAACATAAACTTTGGATGAGGTTTGGAATAGATTCCATTAATAATTTTTTGCGGATCTCTGGACGAGCGCGTTTCTCTCTGCAAGGAGATAAATGTGTTTTATTTACTTTCTCAAATCCGTTTTCGGGTGAATAAGAAATTAGTTCCAAAGTGTGCTGTTTTGATAAACCTAAATGGATATGCAAAATGTGAGAAGCTTTTGTCCCACATGGAAAAAATGTTGAAACTAATTAAAATTTAAATAAGCCAAATTTGGGTTTGAGTTTGGGCTTAATTGTAAAGTCCAATTATTCTTTTTACTAAATGGAATCTTGGATTGGGTCTTTAATTTTGGAATGTGCTTATTTAAATAGGTGGTTAGTTTTTGAACTTAAATTAAAAATTAGTTTTTTTTTTTTTTTTTTGTCAAAGGATTGCATCTATTTCTAAAAGGTTGCATCTGTTTTTCAAATAGTTGCATATGTTTCTAAAGGGTTACAACTCAAAACCAACAGATATAACTATTCATGTGAACCATCACAACCTATTGGAGTGGATGTGTCTATTGGTGAACAGACACCATGCGAACCATTGTAACCTATTGGAGTGGATGTGTCTATTGGTGAACAGACACTATGCGAACCATTGCAACCAATTGGAGTGGATGTGTCCAGTGTGAAGAGACACATATAAATGGTTGTGTCCAATGATGAAGAGACACACCTAATCCGAAAAGGCGCATTAATTAAAAACTATTTTTTAGTTTTTTCTAAAGGGTTGCACCCAATCCAAAAAGGCACCTTGTTGCCTATAAATACCGATCATTTGCAAATTATTCATTTTTCAATTTCTTCTACTCCCTCTATATACTTGAACCCAATTCAAGTGGGTTCAAACCATAGGTTAAGTGGTCCGAACCACTTAGACCCTAATCCAATTTCATCGAACCATATTAAGATTCGTCCGAACTATTTGGTTCGGATTGCACCCAATTCAGCATTTATATAATATATAGATGCATTTTTGAGCAAGAGGGAGTATTACACGGAGGAGGTTCGCCGTATCCACGAGTTTGAAGTACTGCTACTGGTGGATATAAACCGTTGTGTCCCGGGAGATAGACTCCACTGAGTCCGTTAGCACCATAGTGGGACGAATTTGTCTTAAGGACATAGTATTCAATACTAACCTCGGTCCAGATTCATTCCTTGTATATTATTATTATTATTTTATTGCTTTATTTTACATAATTAATTAAATATAGAGTTGTATATTTAATTAATGATTTCTTAGCATATTGTTAATTATCTCATGACATATTAGTATAAGATTTGTTATTTTTTAAATGTTACATGAAACATATATTTTACTAACAAAACTAACTTCAGGGCTAAGATCACCAACAAAAATGATGCAGAAACCTAAAAACCAATATAAAAAATAGCATAAGTGATTATTAACAAATTAATTTGAAAAGTATCATTGAATCAACTGCGCGAAGCCTAAAAATTACAAAATAAAAGAATAAAAACAAGAATATATATATTCAGACCTGATGTTCCTCTCTCTCTAACCATCAGTTGACTTTCAAAGGCTATCAAAACCTGCAGACGACATGTTGAAATACAGCACTGGGATATACATAATGAGCAATTATTTAGATAGGGGATGACGGTACAATAATATCATGATATTTAATAACATAATGTTGTCATATCTTCACTCATATAAATCCGGATGCATCCGACTCTCAGAATACTTGTTATTATTATTTTATTCAGTTCCCGGTTTCAATTCCCTTCTGACAATAAAACTAACACCTGCATAAAATTTAATATATCCATATAAAAACTTAAAAGCACAAGTACACACTCAAATATAATATATGCCACCAAAAAAATTTATTTCGGGGGTCACCAATATACCTGCATAATCTCAATATATCTATCTATATATAAACATAGGATGAAGTGTAAAAAACACACTATGTTTATAGTGCATATCACACTTTTCACATGCAAAAAATCATCCTCAAGTTTTAATTTGGTGCAATTAGGTCTTCTGACACATTTAAAATTTAAATTGACCAAACTACTCTTATTGAATAATTTTATAAAATATATAAAAATAATTTTTTCTATAAAAAAATCAAAAAAGACATTAAACATTATTCAGTAAAATAATTTACAACCCTATTACAATTACACCACCAATCAACACCAAACACAGCAAGTAGGTATGACAAATCTAACATCACCGAAAGAGGAAAAGTGAAGGACGAAAGCTTTAGTACTGGTTATGGCTTAATCGAAGGTGCAGAGATTGACGGTTGCAGAGGGCAGAGTCTTAATCCAAGGTGCAGAGGGCGGGGAAGAGATCGACGGTTGCAAGCATGATGGCGGAACGACGGCAGCGAGTTCTGGCGCCGCCGAAGGGAGTGAGAAAAGAATAACAGTAGCCTTGTTTTTGGATCTTGGCAAGTTTTCAATATTGACTTTGTTTAATCTATGATTCTATATGATGTGGCAACAAAGTGTAAAGAGTTTAAAAACCCATGAATTTAGTTGAATATGGGTTCTTATGTTTCTTGTAGTTACAGTTTTTGATATTGACTTTGTGTCACCTTTTTGGCCTTCTCTCCTACATTCATGGTTATTTGTCCTTTGATTTTTTATTTTTTAAAGAATATAAATTGAGGGATTTCTGTGTTAAAACATGTTATAGCCACCATTAGAATTCTATTTGTGTTCTATTTGATCAATTATTAGATATTTGGCTATATTACCAATCATACACACCGTCGCTCCGGCCGAGATTCAGATCGGAGAAGTTTCTTCGCTCCGGCCAAACTCAGTTCTTGAAAACATCGACGATGACATCGGATCCATAATCGGATTTCAGCCAGAGACCGCGCTGGTTTCTGAGGCTGAGAAATTACGGTGAGCGTGTGGTGTAGTGGCATCTCGGCGGTCCTCGAAGGAAAGGAAAGTGTGAGTGCTATGAATACCCTTAACCACCCACTGATTGTGATTTCGTTCTTTAGTTTGATTAACCTTAAACCAATGAACATGTAATTTCGAAGAGAAAAAGTAGGGGTAAGTGTTTTGATTAAGCTTAAATCTAATGGATTTTGTAGAGAGGGAGCAGTGT